GATCTCTCTCTGATATGAGCTAAGGCCCCACTGAACCAAATGCTGTATTAACAGTGACCTCTCATGAGGGGTTTTGCAGCTAAAGAGTCAGAATGGACTCACAAATGGACACACCTCTACTCTCAGGACACAACCCATGACTGATGAATCAAAATCCACCACAACCACTTTTCTCAACTCCTACTCTTCCTGCCCTATTCCCAGTATTGGTGGTTGCAACAACTGCAAACAATAGACTCTGCCCTTGCTTTCAATCYKGTTTCAAATAATTATTCCTGTCAAATAAATGGAGCATTTCTTCAACCACAATTTTACTCATCAGCTGTCTCAGCCACACCTATTCTTACTTAATGTGTAAGATCTTTCAGTGAACTCTAGTAGTTTATTTTAAATGTATACTCATGGACAGATTTTAATTAAATAATTTTAAGTTATGATTAACTAATGTTATCATTATCAATTAATTAATGGTATGCCCAGTCCAAGATGAGAGACCCATAGACTTCAGCAACACAAATCAAGTTCTTTGACGTGTACAAAAACACAGAGGGAGAGAAAGTGTAGRTGCATACCATTATCCTCCTTTTCATGTCCAAATTTATGGCAAAGGAAATAAAAAGGGCCCCAAACATCCTGAAGAGGTAGAAGGGACAAGAAGACTCACCCGTTCTAGTATTGAAATGATCCACTGAAGTCAGGTGGATATCACACTGAGATACTTCCATGGGAATAACCCCAGAATGCAGGTTTTCAGGATGCACACACTGAGAAAAAAGCATTTGTCCTCTGCTAAATGACCACAGGAAGAGAAGATTTACTTGTAGAAAAAGCACAGAAATATTTTCACCTGCCTTTTAACCCAGGCAGGGAATCCCTAGGAATCCTGTCTCTCTAGAGCAGCTGAAGCAGCCCTGCACTGGGAACATCAGCAAGCAGCAAAGGACCCTTCATCAGCATTGATGGTCAGAAATGCATTTTTAAATCTCCCAAGCATCACGTGCTTTGATTTCCACAAGACACCCGTCTCAGAGCACACAATCCAGATCTCTTTCAGATGAAGACAGACCCAGAGATGTGCTTCAGCCACTAACGAGCACTCAGCCTCCGGGACCTGGCTGTAACTAGCACAAAGCCCCCAAAACCACACGTAGCACAGAGGTCAGTGCAGGTTATTTCACTCAGCAGATCCACTCTAATGGAGCACACTGCTTGCTAATGTAGGAAGAGTCATGTTCAACCACTGCACAAAGGGACAATGACAAGTGGGGACAAGGCTGATTATAGTCAGCCAAAATCAACTGTCAAGCCCTAACAAGCTGGTGATGAAGTACAGCTAATGTAATTATCACCTTAGGGTCCACAGAGAAGGGCACTGATAGAGTAGAAGACAAATGGGCTGGTAAGCAAGAGTCAGAGTAAAAAGCAAGGATTCCCAAACTGAAGGCAGTGATCAAGGCAGCTGTGTGGTGACAGCGAGAAAAACTGCAGTTAGTCAAAATGTGAGGTAATGCAGCTCCCAGAGTGTGAGAGAGCAGTTACTTGAGCAGGGAACACAAAGCCCATTATTTATGCTAAATATCATCAATAGAAACTGGTAATTCCTTAATTCCTTTGACAGAAACAACAATTGGGAGACCCATCTTTCTTTAAATTCTCTTTTCTGTCTTGCCCCGATCTCATATTACATTTTCAACATGAAACTACAACTCTTTTTTTACAATTCCCAAGACAGGGATGATGGGTTTTGCTGTTGACATTACTACTGAACCACACATGTATTCAAAACAGCTCCCACATCCAAAGCAGACCACATAAGAAATCACCCTCACACAAACATCTTTTTTTTCCTTGATATCTGATACCATAAACCTGTTACTTACCTCATGGATAAGAGGTGTTTGGGAATAAACAAAATAATTAAGAATTAATAAGGAAAGAAAAAAAGTTTCTACTGGAGAACKTTCTAGAGTTTTTTAATTACATTATAAAGAAGACAAGACAACTAAACCTAAAGCATTRTATTTATAGGTCACCTTCAAAGAGTAAATAACAATTATACACACTTCATCATACTGGGTTCTGCATATCACAGTGATGTTCCTCAGTTCATCTGTCTTTCATACTGAGGGGACTCATCCATCATCTAGTCATACACAAGCCTGTCATATGGGGGTGATAGAAGTTGTCTTCAAGGTACCTCACTGACACTTCTTAATTAAATATCCTGAAATATTGCATATTATTTTCCTGTRCCACCACTGGAGACAATGGTAATTACATGGTGATTCCCAGAAACATTTTATGAATCCTCAATTATTTTGCAACTTGCTGGATTTGACWTTGTTGCTGCTAGTCTGCAATGAATTATTTGTAGTTAAATATTTGA